TGCAGGTGTTTTCTTATTACCATTTAGGTAGGTACCTGCTACTATAATACAACCAAGGTGTTTCGACAAAAATAAAACAGCGAACGTGAAGGCAGATTTAAATTTGCTCCAGTGAATTCATGTATTTGCTCCAGTTGTGAGAGGCCTTACGTAAACGATTCTTTTCGGGAAAAAAAAACCGGAAAGAAATCTCAAGAAAAAATTGTCCCTTCGACAGCAAATCTCCGGAAAATTATTTTAAACTTCTTAACAAGAGATGATTTGTTGCATGTATGACAATTAAGTTTGCATGTTAGTCTTTATTGATTGACAAGGTTTTACCCGTGATTTCGCTCGCGTTGATGTCAAAGATCATCAAAAATACCATAATTTGATAAACGGTCTTCACCAGGATAATCAGGATAAAACTGAAGTTTCTAATTTTCTAGGTTAAAGATACACTTTGCTTAGAATGACAGCGACAGTCTTTCTTTACCTTCTTTATCGAGATGAAAAGAAATTTATCTACCCTTGGGAACAGTACTTTTTTTTCTGGATAAAATGTGTTCTTTTGTGTATCCTTGACAATGTGCGTACAATATTTCATTATGATCGGTTGAGTAGTTAGAGCGTCAAATGGTAATAAACTAACCCACATTCGCAATTATAATATTAGTTAAGATTTTGTCTAAGGAGTCATTAGTTCCAAACGGTATAAAGGAATCTATAAATTTTGAACTATACTTACCTTAATATGAATAAATATTGCTTAATTCCTTGTTGTAATCTTCATGAAACAAAGGTACAGTAAGCAATCTATGAACACTTCAATAGAAGAATGGGTTACGTTTGGTGATACTGGATGACAGGATTTATTTAACAAATGGTATCAGTATGTTTTTTTTATGGAAGATAGAAAATGTATGCCTATTATGTTAGAAAAGTTATTTTTTTCTTCCAAAAATAATTTTCCGGGAAATTTTCTTCTAAGGTAACATTTTTACAGGGGCCTTTCTCTGAGGAAAATTTTTTACAGGGTTTTTTCCGGGGGAATTTTTTCCTAGATTCTCTAAAGGGCTACAGAATGATAAAATGGTGTTTTATTAATAGCTAAAAATGACTATAGACGCATTTTTAGGGTTCCTTTACAGGCTCAGCAGGTTGTTAAATCGATAAGTTAGTTGATCAAAAAAAATTTGGTAAATATCCAATTGAAAGGGTAACTTTAGTACAAAGCATTACTGCCAGTTTGCCCACCAGTTTGAAACTAAACTAAAAAAAAAACTAAATCCCAAAATTCCATTTAAAACGTTAAGAAACCCATTAGTTATTAGAATAAAAAGGAGAAAGAATAGAAGAGATAGGATAGGAGCACATTTTATTAGAAATGAAGGATTAGTCAGAGGCATATTAGGAGCGAAAATTTTCAAAATTTAGTTATATATTTTATAGCAGCCTACCTATAGCCAAATATGCAAATAAGTCCAAGATCGAAATTTATACAGTTATGAACTAGAAATGATCTCCTTTAGGTACAAATTGCGTTTATACTCGAGTAATTTTGTTAATTTTCATTAATTTTAATGTGATATACCGTAATCTTGTGAGGGTGTTCGAAGATTATGTCTGATAGGTCAAAGCGTTTAATACCTTTATGTAATTAAGCTATATCATACCAACGCTTTTCCAATAGTTTGCTAATTTATGTTGAATTTCATGCTACAATTAACGCATCCATACATATGTATATAAGATGATCTATAATGAAACCGTATAGATATTAAAAACAAGAAGATTCATCGGTTAGATATTGACAGATAAATTGTAATTATTGAACTTTATCACTTTAATATCTATATGAAAAATTGGTGAAATATATTTGTAAAAAGTTTGCTATATCACGTTGTCTTTCTCAAAACATGCATGCAATGGAATATTTTCAGTTTTCAATTCGGCAGTTGTGTAAGGGGTTAATTTTGCCCATAAAATGAAGTGGTTCATTCAAAACTTATGATTTCTTATTTGGGGAGAGGGAAGAGAAAAAGTTTTTAGGGCACATTCATTAATTATAAGATCCCAAATTGGAGGACAAGGGTTTAGCAAAAATTTCTAAAAGCCCTTTAAATGATTTTCCGTTAACTTTTTAATTCAAAGAATATACAGTATATATTATTTAAAAATTATGGGATAAATCTCACGTTAGGGGGAGGCTGGTCCTACTACATCATAGCAAATCTCACCAAAGGAGAGCGTCCAAATTAGGCTGCAAGTGTAACTTGAGTTGAGTGGCATGACTTTTTAAACTTTGCTAATAAATAATTGTTTAAAATATTTTTATATTTGTGAAACGAGAATGAAAAAATTGACGCTGAAACTGTTTTGTAATTATTAACCTATTTTATTTACGTAAAAGGGATACTGGGAGTTAACAAATATCCTACGGTTTCTTACGTAAGGAGAGGGGGTCAGACGGGTCAAGAAATAGCGAAAATAGTCATTAATTTGTAGGCTGTTGCTCCAATACGCGTATGCTACCTTTAACGTAAACGTAAAATATTTCTTAAAGGACATGCTAATAGGACCATTTGGAGACTTTTCGTACAATTTTTAATAATAACGGAAAAGATCAACGCCAGTTATTGTTTGATATTATTTCATTTACTGCGAAATGCTTCCACGTCATTTAACAAAAACGTCGAAGCGGATTTAGTTACTTAACGGTTATTTTCGCGGTTATTTAAAGCTTTTATTTGCTTTGGCTTAAGTTATATTCTTTTACTATACTTTTTACGCATCCCAATTTAAACAACTTCAATTGCTGGCAATAGAACGAAATTAATGAAAACAATAACAATTTAATGCGATGGTTATTAACCTTCATTTCTTTCAAACGAGCACAAACACATATATGTACGTGCGCACATGTCGTTTATCAGGAATTAAAATTCTTATTTTGTTTTCGTTATTGTTATTGTTTTATTGGAATTATGATAAGAGCAGGTGACGTTAAATCGACAACAAAACGATACAATAAGGACGAGTACCCTCTTATCATTACGAACAAATAAAATTAGGAACGTAATAAAACAATAACGTAATTGATGCTTCCTATGTTGATAATAATCTAAATGAACTATTTCGAAACAGAAACGAACTGTGCTTTTTAATTTCTGAAAAACTAGAGGATAATTTTTCGTACATTAATACTAGTAGTTTAGAAATGTAAAGCTGATAAAAAAAAATGACTAAAATAAGGAGTTATTAAATTATTATGCCATTTGTAGCGGAGGGGATAGGTAATTTAGCCATTCTTTGACAAATTGTGAAAAAAAAATCATTTAAAGATGCTATAGTAAAACATACTTGAGGGTGAAAACGGATTACGTTTATTAATACGGTATTTCATACAGTAATAGGAGCGATCTGGTTTAATGTTACGTAATATCCTGGGGGTAGCACAATACGTGATGGATTGTGATGTTGGTGAAAGAGTAACTGAAAACCAGCATTTTTGAAGGGTGAAAACTAATCACGAATACTATCTAAGCACTTTATAAAGTTAGGGGTGGCAGTTAAGCTAAATGTAACAATATTCTTTCTAGGATGAGTCAAGTTATGATGCTTGAGAAGGCGGAATTAAAAACCAGTAGTTTGTCTAGTACAAGGAATATTTGAATAATCTGTAAATATCTACTAATAAATTCAATATTTTTTATGAGGAAGACGATTATTTTCTATTTAAAATTGTTTATCATCGTCTATAACTTGCTTGTAAATTTCCAAAGTGTGTAATGTGATGATACAGGTGATCTCGAGAATGAGTGAATGCAGGTGAGCTATCTAGAATGATATCACTTTGACATTAAGGGAAAGGTAAAAGAAGAAATAAGGAGGCAATAACAAATGTAATGTGTAATAGGCATTACAATGAAGTTTTGCCGGTAGGTGAAGTGTGAGGATGTGTTATGTATTTAAAGGTGTAAAAATAAGACAGATGAGAAAATTCTGGCTAGGATCAGGTGTGGAAATGTTGGAAGACGGCAGGCTCAATTGTTGTAAAGAAACCTTGAAAAATCAGTAGGAAGAACTTAAGTTTTATTCATACCTTAGGTTTCAAAAGAATTAAAGAAAATATTCTTTAAATTTCAAGTCTATCTTAATGTTTGAATAACATTGAATTTTCGGCATTAAATAATTTTATAATATGTCTCAGAAATGTTACAGATTTTTGGCTATTACAATCTTAGTTTTATTAAGATAAAAAAAAAATGATCACTTTTCTTTTTGATGTTTGAGAAATAGTCTGTGTTTTGAGAATTACTGAGATTAGTTGTAAGACTTTTTGAAACATATTACCCATTGCAGTTCTGTTATTCTGGAGAAAAAAATAACTTGCATAACTGGCATCCTTAAGCTTAATGATTCACCTGCGATCAAGGATTATTCATTTGTTGTGATATTAAGATCGAAACAGTCTTATTAGAAAGTGTGGATGGTGTGATTAGGGATCTTATCGTTAGAAGACGTTTATACATATTTCGTAAGTGAGATGTTCCGTGAATTTTGAGAATTACTGAGATTAGTTGTAAGACTGAGAATTTTTGGAAACATATTGCCCATTGCAAATTTGTTATTCCGGAGAAAAAGATAACTTTGCGCCCTTAAGTTTAATGATTCACCTGCGATCAAGGATCATTCATTTGTTGTGATATTAAGATCGAAACAGTCTTATTAGAAAGTGTGGGTGGTGTGATTACGGATCTTATCGTCAGAAGACGTTTATACATATTTCTTGAGTGAGATGTTCTGCAAAATTCGGCAAGTGGGACGAAGTGTGTGACAAATAGGTGTATTTTTGTTTGTTCCCGTCTGCCTGTTTCTATTCGTATACTTAATAGATGCCTGCTTATGTAGAGTGAGAGAGAAAGAAGAAATGCTTCCCACATCCGATGTTAACGGCACCGCCATTGACTAATAATCCTTAATAATTATTGTCGTCCTTTCGTCTCACCGTTTAGCAGGTGCTGCGGGAGTGACGTCGGAAACGGTTGAGTCGTCGACGCCGACGGTCGTCGGTGTCGTCGGTGACGTTGGTGGCGTCGGTACCAACATCGGCGTCGTCGACGTCGCGAAAGCGACGCAGACGCAGATTCGGGAAGGACGAGCGCGTGGCTCGGCAATGGCTTCGTCGACAGTCGCGCATCAGGAAATGGACGCGAACCACAAGGCGAGACGCAACAATTCTTCACTCGCGCACCAGGAGAATAAGAACATGGAGGAAGTTGCCGCAACTAAGATTCAGGCCAGTTTCAGAGGTTACCAAGTACGAAAACAACTCAAAACTAAAGTGAGTACATGCGTACTGCTTTTAAAATCAATCGTAAGTAGATTTAAGTTTTTTTTATTATTAATTTGAAATTTTAATTGAAAGTGTGACAGCTAGCCCAAAATATTTTTTAAATGTTCCTTAAAACAATTAAAATTATTCCAAATTGTATGCAGTGGCTTTATCTTTGTTATAAATTTTTTAATTCATGTTATCAGTTGTTTTGCTAAGACTTGTTGAAACTTATTCATTAAAGATTAATAAGAATATCCATTCCCATCAATTTCTTCGTTTACGCAAAACTTTCAGTTTAATTTACCTATTGCAGTATTTATAAGTTTTGTTTGCTTTATTAACTTTTATGAAAGAAGAGACATTAACAACTTCGTACTTTTTCTAAAAGTAATCTAGTAATAAGAATGAAAAGTTTTTTGTTTATTATTTACATAATCCAATACTGTCGTAATGTCCGTAATTGCAGTACAAAAGCTTCTTCAAGAAAGATTATGAAAGAATATTTTTGTGCTTTTGTGAGTTATTTTCTTATTATCTGATTTTCACAATCTTTCCTGAAGAAGTTTTCGTACTGTAAAGCAAGACGTCGGTGTTGGATTATGTAAAGAATAAAGAAAACATTATTTCATCATTTTTATTGCCAGATTAGTCCTGTTAAGTGGTACTAAGTTTTTCTAAATCTCGTGATGTTTTCTGATAGTTCCTATAAGTATAATTAACTAATCTTTAACAAAAACAATTCTGCGAAGTTTCGCAATGAGATTTGATGCTTTCTCAAGTGGAAAAACTTACGGGGTCGAAAGATTGATAGAAAGTTCTTCAGTGGGTTATAGGATAATAGGTACTGTAATTTCATGATTTATAACAAATATCTATGAAATTACGCTGTAAATTTCGGTTTAATTTAGTTTTGTTTATTTAATCCGGCTATTTGCTTGAAATTTTAGTTAAAAATCCTCAATAGAAAAAAAAACTTTAAAAGGCAAGTAGGGAAAGAGCGAATATAAAGATAGGAGACGAAAAATTAGAAGAAGTGGCTGATTTTAGATATTTAGGTCAGATAAGTCAGGATAGAAGGAGTAGTAGGGATCTAAAACAGATGAGAGCGCAAGGTAGTGTCGCCTTTAATAAAAAGAAGTCACTTCTATGCTTGCGAACGGTTAATTTAGAAATTCGAAAAAGGTTGTTAAAGGTGTATGTTTGGAACACGGCGTTGTACGGGTGCGAAACATGGACAGTGGACGCGGCGGAAAAGAAAAGGTTAGAAGCGTTCGAAATGTGGTGTTATAGGCGGATGATGAGGATATCGTGGGTAGAAAAGGTTAGAAATGAAGAGGTATTGGAAAGAATAGGAGAACAGAGGACTCTATGGAAGTCAATAAAAAATAGGCGAGATAGGTTGGTAGGACACATTCTCAGGCATGAAGGTCTAGTCAGAGACATATTAGAGGCAGAAACAGGAGTAAGGAGGGGTAGAGGTAAACCTAGATTAGATTACTCTTGTTAATAGTTAAGGATGTGGGCTGTTCTAGTTTTAGGGAAATGCGAAGTTTAGCTCAGGATAGGAAAGAGTGGAGGTACGTGTCCAACCAGTCTTAGGACTGACGACCTTATGATGATGATGATGATGATGATGAAATGGCAAAAAATTTAAAGTTACAATACAGTGTCATTAAATTATCCTCATCTTGGAATACACCATGTTTATCATAATATTTTTCGTATAATTTTGATTCGTATAGTTTGCGAAAATAATAACGAAGTTGTTATTTGCGACAAATTGTGATATATCTATTTGTCGTGATTGCGAGGGAGATTTGGGTAGACATATTATAAAAGTAAAATTTTAGTAAAAAGTTGGCACCAATATTTGCGATCCGCTCCAAGTGTGAACGTAGATCAAAATGTTGATTTTCAAATAGAAAACAGACACCAGGCAGTTAATGTTAAAAAAAGAAATACAGACCCATTAACAATTAAAATAGTAATAAATAAACCGTCATTTTAAAAATCTGTGTAATATTATTATTAGACATGCGTGTAGGTAATATACGGTAGTGGCGAGTTGAGAGCATCATCTAAGGCTGCACCATCTCCTGAAAAATACTACCTGGTATGGAAAAATTCATACAAAGACCTTTAGTCATCTTTTTCGTATCCAAATATTAAAGTAATACACAGTTATAAAGTCCAATAAATTTAATTGAAAGCTTTATTCAAAAGATTTCGGGAGTGGTGTTAGTTTAGGACAGTTTTCACAGAAGCAAGTGATATTTTCAGATAGATATGCTTGAGAAAACATATTCTATACGTTCGCCCAATTATTTCGCTAGTGAAACGACATAAAAAAATAATAATGACGATAAAGGAACATATAATATATACCTATGCTCGGTAAACGTTTTGAATTACCTGTATGAGTGCAGTAATGAGATGTAAACTAACAAAGAAATTATTTTGTATAAATTAAGAAATATTTTTACGTGGATATTGTACTTTTTTTTGGGTGATGAAAGTTTGCGGTTGTTTTTTTGTTGGCATTTATAACGTCAAAACCAACGTGTAAAGTAATAAATTCATAGACTTTTGGCATCAATTTTTATTTGTTTACCGGAATTTGAACGTATAATTATTTTTATAAGCCATTCTATCACGGGAACCTTTAAAAGTTGTTGAAAGGGCTGTACATCACTTGGCATGGATATTTTTTTTTGACGTAGGTAGTGGTCTAAATTTGAGTATAGATAATGAAGGAGTGAATAGACGTTGCGATAACTGATTTTAACGTTTAGTTTACAAAGATTGAATATAGGGAGAATAATCGACTTTTGAAAAGAGTTATAGGTATAATTGGGACTATCAAAACTGGGAAAGTCAACAGTAAATTATCTGTGAGAATGGATGTACCTTCTTTCTTGTTTCGTCTTGCTGCGTTTTGAACACGCCCTTGTTTAGTTAGGAAATGCTTCATGAGTAGTATAGCCAAAGTGAAAAGATATAACCGAATAATAGTAAGCTGTGCAGAGGTTGTAGGATGCTTAAGTATGCAAAAGATCAGGGTTGACTTTATGATTGCCTGGTTGAAATTATATCTTTAAACAAGGGTCTTTGTTTTCCTAAACTCCTGAAAATGTCGAACTTCCTTTAAGGTCCGAAGCTGGCAACATGCTTGTCCGCATCTCTTTCTGTTACACATTAATTGGTGTAATGTTATTCCTTTTTCTTTATTAGTGTCCGCTGCAATTCCTACCTGACATCTCTTTTCTATGTTTGCGGTATTCCCTACAACGTCTGTCGTGAGTAAAGGTGGGCGTTCTGTCAGTAACCGCTTTAGTCTAGTTAGTAAGTTGAAAGAAAAAAGTAAATGCGACAGTTTTATTGCAGGCTATGCCAATTTTAAACTTCTCAACTATAGGTACGCCCAAAAACAGAGCAAAACAAATTCCAAAATCTACATTAGGTACGCAAAAGATCAGGGTCGGCTTTATAACTGCATGGTTGGAGTTATATTTTCAAACAAGCGTCTTACTTTTCTTAACTTCTAAGAATGTTGAACTTTGTTTAAAGTCTGATGCTGGCAACATGCTGAAATTCTGCGTATCTGCATCTCTTTCTGTTACATATTAATTGATGTAATGTTATTCCTTTGTTTTTTATTAGTGTCCGCTGCAAAGATACTCATGATAAAGAAAAGTGGGATATAAAATTAGAAACTCTTTTTGTCCTGTGTATGTACAATGTACAGTCATGTTCATTAAAAATTTGCCATACGGGGCAATGCATCGTTCAACATATGATAATTGTCTTTGTGAATTCTGTTTTTGGACTTTAGGTGAATTATTTACAGTAATTAAGATTTCTAATTCTAACTGTGATGAGTTACTGTCTGTGTTTGTTTTCACAGAACGTAATTGTATTTACAGTCAATAACTCTCTAAACATTTCTATTATTATCGAATCGTCTTGCTCCTTAACATTGCTCTAGATTTACGGTATATTTGCGTATAAGTTTAGAATGAAAGAGGTTAGCAATGATATACCTCGTAATTAATGGAACACTTGCATGTTTTATTGCACAACATTTTCAAAATAAACGGGTTTTGTTTACAATTCCCGAACGAGAATATAAATGAAATTAAAAGTTTTCAAAGGTCAGCTAAATATTCTATTACAATTCAGCCTAACCTAGCCTAACGTTAGTTTAGAAATTAATTAAATATTTGGTACTTGATAAAAAACGTCATTTCGAATTTCACTTTTTTGGACGTCGCCCTCCCCCTTCGTCACGCTAAGACACTATTAGAAACCCCTCCAACAAATATTACGCCGTGAAAGCTAGTCCACCCCTCCTTCCTATAAACGATTTTTTGTGATTTATAATAGCAATGAGAATGAGTTTCTATCAAGGTGAAAAATTTTAAGAAATGTCAAGCTAATAAGACATTTTTTTAACACATTTTCTTCGAGCCCGTCCCTCCTTGTTATATGTCGTCACTCTAAGTATTATCTCTCTATTAACCCCTTAACTATTGTCGTAGGGAGTATTATTATGTATGTTATGATTATTATTATTGTGTGTATTAGATTTTGCACTCAAGAAGATCCATTTTATAAAGGAATGGATTGGCAATTGTTAATTGAAAAATGACGTGTTGACCGAAATAAATATTACTTTTGATCCTCGTCGTTCTTGTGATGCAGTTTAAAAAGCGCTATTCTTAATTAACTGTTAACGAAATTGAAGTTGAGCGTAATAAAAATTATTGCCGTTTAAACGAGGGAAGTAAATTGGAGTAAACTTGAGTTAAGTACGGTGTCGTTAAAAGTGTTTATTGCTTGTATTAACAACGCGTGATTTTTATGAATGACAATCACGTTGTAATACACGCACACTGTTAATAAGTTTATCACATGAACCTCCATGTAAATTGCATAATGTAATATGTACTGAAACAGCGTTTGAGGAAATACAGAGAGGATGGTCGTCAGAATAATAAAGTGCGATATTTCAGAGTCAAATGATATTCATTTCTAATCATATCGCACATCAAGCTTTCGGAATTACTAAGTATTTGTATTTTCGATAAAAGACCAAAAAAGTGAATTTGATCCTTTGAACTAAGAAGTGTAAATCTCGGCTGCTTTCGGCAAAAATCTATTTTTTGGGGTCGTAATATGTTGATGTGCTTTCGTATTATTGATGTAAGGAAAGAACGGTAGTGGATGGTGAGATTTTCATCAAAGGACTTGTCGGATGTGGCGTTCTTTTGGTTATTCCCACTTCGAATGAAATGCACTGTATTTTCCCTAAGTAATGTTTTTTATTTACACTATATTACACTTAATTTACTGTATACACTTACTAGCAACACTATTTGCATTAATAAATTGTATAATCAATTTGGTTGTTGTGCATATAAGAAATTTTGGTTTTTTGATTGATATAGAATTGTTTGTAATTGTAATTGTAATGACTTGAATTGAATATTGATCGTTGGTTATGAATTGTTGGATATGAGTTTGTTGAATGTGAATTTTTGAATATGAATTGATTGTTGGATATAAATGAATATGAATGCTTTTCGTGCTTTCAAATCTCAGTATTTATAATAGGTACTGAAGAAAGCGACACGCCCTAAACAGGCATCTTTTGGGGTAGGTAACTGTGAAATACCGAACCTCAATAAATTCGGTATTTCCGCCAATATCATAAAGTTATTGTTGGTCGCAAATGTTTACTTAACAGCTACTTCGAATTTATCCTAAACTATAGACCTAATAAAATAAAATATTCAGAAAAACGACTTAAGAAATATGTACAGTAATATACAAAATAACACAACACCAAACAGGACTTTTCGAGAAATCCCTGGTGCTGTCTTTCTTCTTCCAGTGCTGTTGTTAATGTTTCTGGTTATAAATTTTAGAAAAAATAAAAAGGATTAAAGGTGGTTTCTCGTGGATCTTCTGATTTTCTGTCTGCAAACCGCAGATTTTGGCTCATTTCATCGGTTCCTTGGGTATGCCTCACTAAGTCAAGTTATATTACTTTTATCGGCCATATAAACTAATAAAACTACAAATATTGATAAAAATCCACAGCCACGAAGTGTTACCATCAGAGATGCGTACTTAATATTTGTACAGGGCACGAAAAATAGACCCTAAGCGAAGAAGTGAACTGTTTATATGACTGACAAGCGCCAACGTTAGTAGCCATCAATCAACAAAACGTTTGACAAAAGTCAAAAGAATAAGAAATCAAGCCAAAACTTCACCAATTGACACCTACACACATTGCTACGCAGAAAGTCAGGTCGCGGTGGCAATAGCTACTTTTGAATGTTAACTGATGACCCATTGTTTACATTCAATTAATTTTATTGTTGCTGTTTTTTCAATCGTTTTAGTATCAATTAAAGTTTTGCCCGTGTGGACATAAACTTTGGCTAATTTTTGAACGGAGAGGTTGAAGTTCTCTATTATGACTTTTTTCTTAATCTGCCCAATAACTCAAGTTAACACGGGATTCTTTTTTAATGTAGAGTAGAATTCTGAATATCCTAATCCTGGTAATACGAAATTCGTTTTATCCGAATGAGATGTAAAATAATTTCTCCGTTTTAACCGAAATAGTTTAAAAAAATCCCTCGCATTATTCGAAATAAAAGTAAGTGTGTTCTGTGGGAGATTACTCAAGCATGTTTACTAGAGTCATTGTTATTTATGTAATTTTAGTCTTTAATTTATCCAAATTTTCGATTATTCCAATTCACATGGGTCAATATTATTTCTGATAGTTGGGATGACTTCTGCTTTACACGTATACTTTGATACCAAATTTAAAATTGGTACATGCAGAGAATACAATTTTCCATGCAAATTTATTTTCCTCATTTGATCCCCTCGGGGTTTCGGTTATCGCAAAATCCACGAAAAAATAGTGAATGGAAAGTATCTCCGGAGAAAAAGATAACTTTGCGCCCTTAAGTTTAATGATTCACCTGCGATCAAGGATCATTCATTTGTTGTGATATTAAGATCGAAACAGTCTTATTAGAAAGTGTGGGTGGTGTGATTACGGATCTTATCGTCAGAAGACGTTTATACATATTTCTTGAGTGAGATGTTCTGCAAAATTCGGCAAGTGGGACGAAGTGTGTGACAAATAGGTGTATTTTTGTTTGTTCCCGTCTGCCTGTTTCTATTCGTATACTTAATAGATGCCTGCTTATGTAGAGTGAGAGAGAAAGAAGAAATGCTTCCCACATCCGATGTTAACGGCACCGCCATTGACTAATAATCCTTAATAATTATTGTCGTCCTTTCGTCTCACCGTTTAGCAGGTGCTGCGGGAGTGACGTCGGAAACGGTTGAGTCGTCGACGCCGACGGTCGTCGGTGTCGTCGGTGACGTTGGTGGCGTCGGTACCAACATCGGCGTCGTCGACGTCGCGAAAGCGACGCAGACGCAGATTCGGGAAGGACGAGCGCGTGGCTCGGCAATGGCTTCGTCGACAGTCGCGCATCAGGAAATGGACGCGAACCACAAGGCGAGACGCAACAATTCTTCACTCGCGCACCAGGAGAATAAGAACATGGAGGAAGTTGCCGCAACTAAGATTCAGGCCAGTTTCAGAGGTTACCAAGTACGAAAACAACTCAAAACTAAAGTGAGTACATGCGTACTGCTTTTAAAATCAATCGTAAGTAGATTTAAGTTTTTTTTATTATTAATTTGAAATTTTAATTGAAAGTGTGACAGCTAGCCCAAAATATTTTTTAAATGTTCCTTAAAACAATTAAAATTATTCCAAATTGTATGCAGTGGCTTTATCTTTGTTATAAATTTTTTAATTCATGTTATCAGTTGTTTTGCTAAGACTTGTTGAAACTTATTCATTAAAGATTAATAAGAATATCCATTCCCATCAATTTCTTCGTTTACGCAAAACTTTCAGTTTAATTTACCTATTGCAGTATTTATAAGTTTTGTTTGCTTTATTAACTTTTATGAAAGAAGAGACATTAACAA